ATATATATGATGGATATCGACACACCATCGGTTTCCGATGACAACCCGTCCATCAGCCCGATGATGGATACCGACACAACATCGGATTCCGATGACAACCCACGATCGGCGTGATGATGGATTCCGACTTACCATCGGTTTCCGATGACAACCCACCATCGGCGCGATGATGGATACCGACTTACCATCGGTTTCCGATGACAACCCACCATCGGCGCGATGATGGATTCCGACTTACCATCGGTTTCCGATGACAACCCACCATCGGCGCGATGATGGATTCCGACTTACCATCGGTTTCCGATGACAACCCACCATCCGCGCGATGATGGATTCCGACTTACCATCGGTTCCCGATGACAACCCACCATCGGCGCGATGATGGATTCCGACTTACCATCGGTTTCCGATGACAACCCACCATCAGCGCGATGATGGATTCCGACTTACCATCGGTTTCCGATGACAACCCACCATCGGCTCGATGATGGATATCGACTTACCATCGGTTTCCGATGACAACCCACCATCGTCACGATGATGGATATCGACACACCATCGGAAACCGATGACAACACACCATCAGGACGATGTCGAGTTCCCACACACTATCGGAAACCGATGATCACCCAATATCAGAACGATGTCGGATAAATGTGTCTTTCCGCTGGTCAGCCGATAGCACCGCTGTCACACCATAGCCTTTATTTTGTCCATGCATCCATCCCTATTTTATCTTAGTCGTTTGATCCTAAAAATAATTCCCTCAATCAAAAGTTGAATCTATGTCTCTAATTCAAGATGTTCTTATAAATTCAACACCAAGGAGTATATATATATAATGGATATCGACACACCATCGGTTTCCGATGACAACCAGTCCATCGGCCCGATGATGGATACCGACACACCATCGGTTACCGATGACAACCCACGATCGGCGTGATGATGGATACCGACACCCCATCGGTTTCCGATGACAACCCACCATCGGCGCGATGATGGATTCCGACTTACCATCGGTTTCCGATGACAACCCACCATCGGCGCGATGATTGATACCGACTTACCATCGGTTTCCGATGACAACCCACCATCGGCGCGATGATGGATACCGACTTACCATCGGTTTCCGATGACAACCCGCCATCGTCACGAAGATGGATACCGACACACCATCGGTTTCCGATGACAACCCACCATCGGCGTGATGATGGATACCGACTTACCATCGGTTTCTGATGACAACCCACCATCGGCGCGATGATGGATTCCGACTTACCATCGGTTTCCGATGACAACCCACCATCGGCGCGATGATTGATACCGACTTACCATCGGTTTCCGATGACAACCCACCATCGGCGCGATGATGGATACCGACTTACCATCGGTTTCCGATGACAACCCGCCATCGTCACGATGATGGATGTCGACACACCATCGGAAACCGATGACAACCCACCATCAGGACGATGTCGGGTTCCCACACACTATCGGAAACCGATGATCACCCAACATCAGAACGATGTAGGATAAATGTGTCTTTCCGATGGTCAGCCGATAGCACCGCTGTCACACCATAGCCTTTATTTTGTCCATGCTCCCATCCCTATTTCATCTTAGTCGTTTGATCCTAAAAATAATTCCCTCAATCAAAAGTTGAATCTATGTCTCTAATTCAAGATGTTCTTTTATAAAATCAACACCAAGGTGTATATATATATATATATGTTAGTACAATTTCCCCAAACCTAGACCATGAGTCCATTAACAGTAAGACATGAGACTGCAGCCATGGGTAAACAAGCTCAGCTGTGTGGGGGTTTAGTTTTGGTATAGAGGTTTTACAGCGCTCGCAACTGCATAAGGTCAAATGAGTATGAGCGCCAGAAGTCGTGTGTGGCTCTGAGAAAACCCTTCACAAGGTGCAAAATTTCAAAATGAACTTTTTTGCATATTCTAAAAGACACATATTTTCTGAGCATTTTGCACTTTATTTGAATGCAATTGGAGCATTCTGTGAAAAGTTATGGCATTTTAAAGCGAACAGGGGTTCGAGTGTCAAATTTTGACAAAACATGTTTTAAAGTTTTGCTTACTTTGGGAACACATTTTCCATGATGACGATGCATAGAAGCAAATAATGCTGATACCACAGCATAGGGGTGCCATTTGTGGACAGTTTGCTTTTTATTTTAGTGAAATACCTCTCTTCTATGTGAAGTTACGACTGTTTTTATGTTACAACAGTAAATCATTGAATTAGGTAAAAACGCGTAAAAAAATATTATGCTCCTCTCGTGTCATACCAGCAAAAGACAAAGGCGGGTCGTCAAAAGCAGTTGATTCGAACTGGCTGTTGCAAGGCAGGCCATCATTGAGCTTGCAGAAGCATTTCAGGCGCTTCAACTTCGCAAAGCTGTCTGCTCCACACTACACCCTTACCTTCTGGCACCACAAAGGCTTTCACTGTCACGTTCTCTATGAAGGTCACACCTAAGGCATCATCCTCGTCTGTAGATACAGAAATTAAAAGAGAGCGATTTAAAGGTGTGCAGCTTGCATAATGAAATTTATAGTGTTGTACACCACTGTATTTAAATGACCACTATTAGTTCAAACAAACCAGTGATTAATGATCACCAATTGAGAATAATTTGCTCCGTGATCCCTTTACAGTTGACAGGTTGCAACAAGAAGCCAGAATTTTTGTCCATCATTCTGTCACCTCTTGTTTTCGTTTTGCATCGCTGTATTTTTATATGGACCTACTCAGTTTAAGAAATTCACTTTCATGTGACGACAAATAAGTGTAGAATTCTGTGCGTTCTATAGAATTCTGTGAAGAAGTGACAACGCTCTTTAGTGCGCAGAAATAACAAAAAGTATTGAGCATTGGTTTTAAACTGTTAGTTCTGCTGTGCTATAACACTTCCGGAGTCCGGAGATTGCTTTCCTATTGCCTTGCCCGCACGCATGGCTCTATTATTAGACTTCTAGATCTAGATCTATTGCATTGAGTGCATACATGGGGAGGAACGCCGAAAACAATGCAAACGGAACGAAAAAGGAAAGCAGGAGACTCTCTCTTGGTCTCAACAGCAGAGAAGCAGCCTAAAATGAGCCCAGGGAGGAAAAAAGAATTACAAATTGTCAAAGGTAGATCTAATCTATACTCTCTAGATCTAGATCTAGATCTAGATTAGTTACGTTCGTTTAAAAGTCCACGAACTAGATTAGATCTAGATTCTAGATGTAGATCTAGATCTAGACTTCTAGAATCTAGATCTAGATATTAGATCTAGATTAGATCTATTAAATCTAGATATCAGATCTAGATCTAGATCTAGATCTAGTACTAGATTTATATCTAGGTCTAGATCTAGATCTAGATCTATCCATTTGTTTGGCCACCTCTATTCTCACCCGGAGTGAGAATAGTGCAGGCGAGTCTTGTGGCTATTCTCACCCGGTGCGCGTTCACCCTTAGCCTTAACCACAGAATTCTACACTGTGATAACAGAAAAATTGTAGAATTCTGTGCCGTGAACAAACGTTCCATTACAACTGTAGCCTACTTAAAGCGTACAATTTTGTCTGGGCAGTGGAGAGAGAGAGAGAAAGAGAGAGAGGAGTAGCGCGAGAATTTCCGGGCAAAACAAAATGGCGACCCGCGTAGTTCGGCTCGATTCGAAAAGTTAAATAGCCGTAGCATCTTTGTAGACAACCAAATTAATTTACTTTTGTGTTTTAACATCATTTTTTTACTTTGTTTTGGTCAATTTGATCGTCCACACCGATAGACAGTATTCAGAAAGAGACAGAGAGAGAGAGAAGAGGGGAGGAGTTGATCTTGCGAGAACTTCCGGGCGGGTGAGAATAGCCACTTTCCATTTGTTTACATCCAGAGAAGAAATCCAGAAGTCCTGATGACCAAATAGGCAACACAAAGAACAGGGATGCAGCCTAACTGCAAAACATCTAATTATATAGATTATATATATATTATCATTATGGAAAAATTCAGGGGGGCATGCCCCCCCAGACAGATCTCCCCCCCCCGCACCCCTCAGGGGTACGTAGACCCTGATTATTAGGTCAGGGGGAACCCATCTAGATTCTAGATCTAGATCTAGGTTAGATCTAGATATCTAGATTAGATTTAGAGTCTCGGGCAATTGTGATTGTTTACTTTCGCGCCTAGAAATCTAGGTGAAGTGGTTAGCCGTACTTAAGTACTTAGATTTAAGATTTGGCCTGAAACCTGTTGAGTACACAAGTCTCAATGTATATGAGCAATTGCCAAAACATGAGACTCTCTTGAGACTCAGTAGTGCAAAAAAAATCTTATCTTAGGCCCTCTATGCCTATTAACATTTGAAAACAGGACTCATTTTAATTATTCAGGTTTAAAAAGCATGCACTGACATTTAAGGGACCTGGTTTCATCTCAAATATAAATACTTTAGGTACTGCAAACTAAAAATTTATTTACAATTCAGTAGGCCTGTTTTTTGGGGGTCAGTCTCGCCATCATATTTATTAAAAATAAGTACGGCTAGCCTCTTCCAAATCTAGTGCTTTTTCAGTAGTTCCTAAACCTAACCCTAAACCCTAACTAAGACTAAACCCTAAACTCTAACCCTAACTTTTGTATAGTTTGCTCAGTGGACCTTGAACCTTGTCATGGTAAGTGCCAGCCCTCTGTGGAACTCCCTTTATTTTTATTGTAAATTACAACCCCACTTTGCCACTTGCCCGATGGCAACAAAAATCTAGAGATCTAGACCTATACTACGACTCGTAGACTGACTCGGCGATGGGGTCACGAAGTGCGAAGTCAGGAATCTAAACAAAATTCATGATGTCAGATTATCAGTGAAAAGTAAACTGTTGTCAAGTGAAAGAAGAAATAAATCACGGCGTGAAAACATGATGATCAGTTTGAACAAACTGATACTGACGCCGTCGCTTGGCTTGTATTCTCAATTGCAGTTGTTGACATTTCCGACTTCACACTTCTTGACCCCATTGCCAAGTCAGTCTATGAGTCCTAGATATAGATCTAGATTTTCCTCTGTCACCATCGGACAAGGGGCAAAGTGGGGTAATTTACAATAAAAAAATAAAAGAAACGGATGATAGTGTCAGTCGTGAAAAGGTAAAACAAGAATTCACAGTAAATTGACTGCAGTGCAGCCCCAGAGGAAAGCTTTAATTATATGAAAATTAGATTCAGAGTCACTGCGACTATTATTTTATTTTTCTACTTCTACTGAATCAGATGAAATAAAATGAAAACATTAACAAAGGAGGCCTTGACCATCTTGTTCTCAATGGGAAAATAAAAAAAGGTAAAAAGTGCCTAGCAGAAGTTTTCTAAAAACAACTTGAAAGCAGTGCTCATTGGGAGGGTCAATTTGGTTGTCTGAGCTAGCCACTTTTCTGAACATCATTCTCTGTTACTTTTATTCAAGTCCCCCCCTTGATCCCTTACCCTTGTGGATGCTACCTAATTATCAGGCTAATCATACTACAGTCAAAATTGTCAATGGGAAAAGTAGTTGCCCAAGACAGGTGGACGTTTTGAAAAGTGACATTTTCATAAAGAAAAACAATGCAAAGGAGGAAGTGGGAACTGGTTGTTTGTACGGGTAATTTTCTGGGACAGGTGACCATTAGAGCAGGGTCGACTATATTGCGTCCACTGATTAATAATGGATACTTCCTTTTACTTATTGTGTGTTTAAAAAAAATAAGATTTTGTCTGGTGTTTGGGACAACAGCTACCTATTGTCAGCTTGAGAAAAAAAATCGTCAGAGTTTGTTATGTCTTTACACATGGCTTTCCCTGATATTTTGAAAAGTACCTTCAGCTGTGTGCCAAATTATCAAAATATAATGTTTGTGCATAGCTGAGTACTGATCATAACTTGTTTTTATTTTATTTACTATTTTAAAATTTTTTTCTCTCACAGATGTCAATGTTCAGAGTTATATTCAGAGCCGGGCTGTTGAGGTTCGAGCGTTTACAGAACTGGTGAAAAATGTCGGCGGCAACCACACAGCCTTCCAGAAGTTGCCGCGTCACATGCGCCGCAGAGCCATGAGTCATAACATCAAGAGAGTTCCCAGAAGGCTGCATGAAGTCGTCAAGGCGGAGGTATGGTGTAATGGGACAGTTTCACACTTGGGGGAATTCCGTGCTCCGTCAAGCTGTTCTATCTTTTTACTTTTAAAAAGAAATGTGAATTTTAAACTAGAATTGAAAATGTTTCTATATCTTGGATATTGCTTTCATTGTCTATATTTGTAAAATTTTGTAAAACTGTGATGTTTGTTCAAACTGATGTGGATGATATCATATATATATATATATATATATATATATATATATATACAGTTAAGCATGCACCACAGCGAAATATGCACATAGAGAACAGATTTTGAGTTCCCATATTTTTTTTTGTACCTATTCTCATGTGTTTCTTTGTATTTAAATCACGTACATATAGCAAAATTTGTACTCATAACAAAAAGATTTCCACGTCCCACTGACTTTGCTATGTTCGTTGAAATCTGTATTTTCCTAGTTTTCTTAAAATGTCCCATAATTGACGCCTCATCCCCCCAGAGTATCAATGTGAAATAAAACTTAAGTAAAATAACAATAGAAAACCCATGATCTGACCACTTTTTTTCTTGTTTAGCTGGAAAGAACCAAAGCACCTGCTAAAAGACCAAGCCGTCGATATCGAAGACGTCCCAGCAATCTGCTCTCTGAGTACGAAAGGAGAAAACGTAGAATTGGCTGGCTGGAGACACATATCTGGCATGCTAAGAGGTTCAAGATGGTGGAGAAATGGGGCTACAGACTGGCCCTCCACCCTTGTGACAAGAGTGTGCGGGCCTGCTACAGGGCAGTGAATATGCATTGTATGATGCAGGTCAGTGGGAGACGAGATGATAAAACTGAAAGATTCTGTGTTTTTGTTTGGTATTAAAGTCAACTACGGATAAGTTGATGTTGTCGGGGGGAGTGAAAAATATATCAACTCTCATCCAAAGTTCAACTTAACTGCTGGGACCTGTAACGAAGAAGAGGCAGGTGCTGGGACGCGAGAAAAAGATCAACTTAACCGTAGACCGATTCTTGGGAGTTCAACACAAGCTGAGTTGACTGTATATATGTCTTTGATTTCAGTTAAAGACGATAATATTTATCTTTTGTGGGCATCAAGATCAGCTACATGATACTGTTGAACCTGTGTAAGACGGCCACCCATTGTCAAGGAGAAAAGTGGCCGTATAAGACAGGTGGCCGTCTTAGGCAGGACTGATCAAGATGAAGAAAACGAACCATTCCTTTTTGAGGTCCCAACCCAAGGTAGCCGCATTGTTGTTGTTGTTGTTTTCGCTGTTTTTTTTTCTTTTTTTTTCTTCTTTTGTTGCTGCTTTTGTGCATGGGTGACAATAAAGCGAAATGTGTCAAGACAGGGAGGACCGAGTGCTGTGGTAAAACAAACTCATGGGTAGCCACCATTCGGAGAGCGAGCGACGCTTCTGTCGCAAGTTCATGTTGACGTCCATTGTTACTTTGTTACAGACTGGGTAAACAGTGACCACTCACCTCACTTACGATTTGTGTATGACTGGGCGGGGCTTATGGGTTATGAGGGGTCACACGCTTACCTCACCAGCAGCTGAAAATTTGTTACCTATTGGTCAACAGTGGGAGGGGCCAAGGCAACATGATCGGTTGGAGGGACTACCTTACAACAACGATAGGTGATTGGATTATGACGGCTCGCCCACACCGCCAGGGGCCAATGCACAATTTATGACAAAATGTAATGGAGTCACTAAGGTGGCCGTCTAAGACAGGTGTTATTGCTTGGTGTGATAGGGGTTGTGTGTTAAAATATGGCCGCGTTGAACAGGTGCCCGTTTTACACAGTTAAATTATATAGAAAAAGCGCAAGGGGGGAAATGGAAAGTGGCCGTTTGTACAGGTGGCCTTCTTATAGAGGTGGCCGTCAGGGCAGGTTCGACTGTATTATTTGGTTGAGGAATAATCAAGGAAGCTAAGCAAGATGATAATGAGTAGGAACTCAGTGGTACCACTTGAAATCTATATATAACTACCCACACAAGTACATGCTTTTTTTTTTTTTAGGTCTCTTCAAATACTAAGCTCTTAGGTGGAGACCACTGAATGTGTGAATTTTATGCTTGTTGTCTTTGAAGTTCAATCTGAAAAGGTTTTGATGGTTTTTGTTTCTCTGCCAAAGTTGTAGAAGCAGGTAATTTATCTGGAAATTCACAAAACTTGAATCGCTGATAAATGTTATCGTGGTAATTTCTTTTTGTGGTGGAAACCCTCTTCATTTGTGAAATTTGCATTTGTAGTGGACGTTGTGTAGTGGTCTCCACTGACTTCTGTTCAGAATCACTCTATCTCATTCTGTTCTGGATTAAATGCGCCTGTTACTCTACCCACTCTCTGCACCCTGCATCTCTTCAAACGTCAGCTTTATTGTTTTCAGGACGTGTCTTTTGAGAGCTACATAGAGGTCAAAGGATCAAGAGAGGATATCCTGAGTGGTCTTTCTCACATCACAAGTCAAGAGTCTGGTAAGTGCATGTCTCAGGAATAGGTTTCTAACATTTCTTTGAACAGGATCTCTTCACAGTTGCTATAATCCGTTAAATATTGGTCTCAGTCATTCTTTTTCTTCTTATTATTCAACTGTAAATGAACACCCCAGTCTCTAGCGCAAAGACTGTTGTTTACCGCAGGTCCTCCAGGCTCCCACAGAGTTTTGGGTTTCCATGCCAAAGGTTGGGCCAATATTTTTTTCTAAGAAATCTAAGTACAATTTTCTGAAGTAATGCCGGACAGGTGATTTGCAATATTGGGTACAAATGCCCTGGGAGTGGAATGTCAGCAGAGATTCAAACGCTACACGTGATAAAGTCCCCTGGCTGCCGAACAGTTACACAATGAGCTGTGCTATGGTCTGTGCAACCAAACTTTGCTCCAGGCTATGCCCCATACTACTCTTTGTTTTGCAAAAGATATGTCAAACGGCACAGGTGTGCATTTGAGCGAATCTGCCTTTCTTACACGGCCATCTTTGGCACCTGATATTGTTGATTAAAAAACCTCACCTTTTTTTCAAAGTTCATTTGGATAAAATTGAATTGAAAGTCAGTGGGGATGACACCATTGTATCTGAGTTTGACGATACTTATAATGTTATCATAATTATTTCAAAAAATAGATAAGAAAGTTTCTACTCTCAAGAAGATATTGAACTGAAGTAGAGAAGTGGGTGTGGCAGGCAATCAATGTAGTCCACAACAGCCCCCCCCCCCTCTCCCACACACACACATACCCATTCACACCTCATAGACCAGTCACACCTCATAGACCAGATTGAATGTTGTGTCAGCCAAACTGTACTTAACTGAAATATTTTTTAATGTCTAGACCTTCACCTACAAATTTTCTTTCTGTTTATGATTGATCTGTTTCTATAGGTCCTACTTTTGCTTCTAAGATGACATCAGCGGGCACAAGACAGGGCTTAGTGACCTTGTACTCCTTTGACTCCTACCCACGTGGCTGCATTGGTCAGGTGACTTATCTGTGGAAGGGCAGGAAAATAGCTGACGGTGAGAGTGAAGATGAGTCATTGTTGTGGATCTGCTGCCATCCATCTTTCTATAGCCAGGCCATGAGTGAGTTACGCAAATGTTTTCCTGTCAGTGAGAGTCAGGATGGAATAAATGGCTGTGAAAATGGGAATGATGGAGTTCCAGCCTCACCTCTAGTCCGTGTCACATCATTGAAGGACCAGCTTGTCACTTTGAGGTTGTATGGTCCTGGTTCGAATACCGTACTGGCAGAGGTATTGAGACCAGCCAGTGTTGTGCCGGCACAGTCAGAGGGTAGTGCTGGAACAACTGGAAAAGTGGAGAGTGAAAGAAACAATCCAGCGATGTGGTGGAAGGAATATTACTCCTCCGAGGCTACGAGAGGTGACCTTGACAGGCAGATAGAGGTTTGGTCTAGACTGAAACTTTGCAGATCTCCAGCGGAGTCTCCCCCACACTCTGTGATCGCTGTGACGGTAAGGGACCCCCGTGTTCTGCTACCGCCCAAGAGACAGAAGGTGGCGAGTTCAAACACAGGTGAGCTGAATTATGATTGTTGTGTACATTATAATATGCTGATAAACTTTTTCCAGTTAAAATTTTTTTGTTGTTGTAGATCTAGTGGTATTTATTTATCTATTTCCTGTGAAAAATTGACACTTTTGTGCTGACTGGTTTAGTAAATAAAATATGTAGTAATAGAAACGATAAATAGCTCGTTTGACAGCGCCTGACAATGACCAATGCATCTGCAGAGAATAGTTTAAAGCAAAATTTAAAAAATAAAGGCCAAAGAGAACTTGTGGCTTTTGCTATGTCTAATGAGGCCAAATCTGGAAGAGTAGAGTTGTTTAACTTGCGCAAAGGTTTGTTTTTAAGTAAAAAAGATCGGGGCAAACATCAGATTCACTCTATTTGCCAATATCTGATGGCGTCATGAAGTAATAAGGTTTAACAACTTTGACTAGAGAAGCTGAAAGAGTAAGTTTTTTCGTGTTGCTGTTTTGAGAATTTTTGTGCTTGTTGTAAGCATTTTCTCCCAACAATCCATTACTCTGGCTGGGTAGCTCAGATGGAAGAGCGCTGGCAACATTGCCAGAGGTCACAGGTTCGAATCCTGTCCTGGTCTTTTTTCTTGACACTCCCTTCACTGAATGCATGTTTGATATTGTTTCGTTATTCATGTTTTATTATTTTGTATTTCTTTTTTTGTTTTCTGTAATTGTGTTGTAGACTGTAGTGAATGTCTGTTCTGTTGTAGACATTTTCATGATCACAAAACAGGATAAAAATACCTATAAAGACTGGAATAACTCTTGTTTGAAGTCAACAAGAACAGTTATGATGTATTCAGATTTGAGGTTTATATAAAACTTGTTTTATTGATTGATAATTTTGTGTGCTTAAAATGCTTGTCTATTTTTGTTTCATTATTGATCTCTTCAACAGTTCATCAAAAAATAATTTGGCTTTCATCTTCATCGTTCTTAAAGTTTTACTTTTTTTTCACCCTTTTGTATTATATCATGTACTTTTAATTGTAATCTTATGGGAACTATGAATCTTTTTATTATAGTCTTAATTTGTAAGTTATTTTTTTGTGTTCAGATTCATCAAACATTTTATATATATTGTCGCCTCAGAACATTTTGTCCAAAGTGTACTTAAAATAGAATATATAGAGGACACTTTTGGACAAAATTGTTCTGAGGCGACGACTTATATGTGTATTGAAAACTCTAAATATAGCAAAACTTACTTAAATGTAAATGTATAATATACTACATGAACACATCTAGACTCAATGTCTGTGAAACTACCCTTATGTAGTAGCTGGGTGTTTGGAGGGTGCTAATGGTTGCTCCTAACCTACTTCTTTTCTTTCCTGCTGTTGTTTTTTGTCCGTCTTTCCCAGCTCAATTCGAAGGTTATTTTGTCAATGTGCTTCTCTTTACACAAACAAACCAAGTGTCATGACCTTTCTAAATGTGTTTTGAAAACTCATGATAATAATAATATCAACACCAGCTGTAAGCTGTAATGGATTACTGAATATCAAGCCTCAAAATCTGTGAACTTGTCGTTATCTTATATGTGGGTGGATGGAGGGTACCTTTAGTGGGTCCCTCTTTTTTCCCCTCTCTCTGTCTTTTTCTTTCCCCACTTTAACTTTGACCCTATATTAATATCTGTTCTTTTTGTATCGATGTTCTTTTCTTTCCTCAAACAGAGCTGAAACTAAACTATACTAATACTATACCATACCCCGTGTCTAGGCTCAGTTTTTTCCTCAAAGCTAAAAACTAGACAATATTTTACCCTGTGTCTAGGCTCAGTGTGTGCCCAGCTACCATCGGAATTGTTTAGCCCAGAGGTCAGCTCCAGCCCGCTGTGGGATGTCTCGGTGAGACAGACGGTGAAGAGTTCCAAGATGGCGGAGAAGGAACTGAACAAGCTGAAGGGCCAGCAGTTGATTCCAGGTACTACTTTATGTTGCTGTAGCAAACAATCCACTAAAGGCAGAAAATTTTGCACCCTCTCAAAGCTCTATCAATGATCAAAGATGCACCTTTCAACATCACCAAAATACAGGTTAATGCTATTATCAAGGCTTATAATTTTCTTTCCTTTTATGATTTCTGAGAGGAACAACACAACAAAAACTAGTTTTTTTGTCTCTGGTGTAAAAATACCCGAACGGACTGAAGTGGATTACTCGCGACACCTGCGATTAGCTCTGTTGTGTTTTTGTCACTTCATGCTACATGGTGTGCGATGCTTTTATCCAGCGTAGGCACAATTAAGGTCATTGAAAAAGTTTGCGGTTTGTGCCAGGCACTATGTTTGTTCTCTCAACGTTTTGTAGTTCAAGGGATTGGCGATGATTAATGTTCTATTGAGTGTGTGATTGGATGGTGACACTGGTGGATCCTACTTCTTTCCTTTCTTTTTGTTGCTTGTGTCTGTTGTCTTATCCTTTTTCTTTCACTAAAAGTAAATGGCTGATATTGTACAGATGTGCTGCTCTTTATTCAATTGCGTCTCATCGGCTCAATTTTTATCATTGAGGAGGTGGGCTGCATCGACTCGTGGTTATTCTGAGCTGCAGTGGGTACATTCTAGAAGAAAGATGGAGATACTCCATAAAATTTGCTTTTTTTCACTGTCTTCAGAATTCTACTTGCATCTCTTGTGAAGACGGTGAAAAGTCTTTAAACTATACCCACAGACACTTATGACCTCAAACTCTTTCAAATATCTCTGTTTTGATGGTGGTTTTTCTTTGTATACAGTTTTACATTCTGATTGATAGATTCTCAAAATATATATTGATGATGTCAGACTTGGGGAGAAGACCAGACCATTAATGATATTGTGTCGTAATGCAGTGGAATCAGGCACTCGTCAATTTTTGAGCATGTGGAGTTATTGCCATCATCTGAAAGCTTGTTCATTTATTTTGCTTTTAAGGAAAATAGTACTCCTGTTTTTAAAAGAACTCGAGATATTTGCGATAGAAGGAAGTTGGGGCCGTCTGTTTTCAAAGGTAAAATTAGCAAGAAAATGGCCACCAAAGTTTGGTGACTTCTAAAGCTTGAGTGTTTTGGAAACTGCAAATTTACTTTTTTGTGCCTTTGATCAATCAAAGTACTATCCATGTTTTTAAATGAATAGAAGGTATTGAGCCAAGAAAGAAACTTAGAAAAAATGTGCCCAACGTCCAGTAAAATACTCATTTCCTTGATTACATGATTTGGACGAATGCCTGATTTCACCACGCTGCCTCACAATTTTTTTCACAGAGGCATCGTCCAGGTGCTGTCTTAGCCTCTTCTCCTCTGTTTGTGAATTTATTATTTTTCCCTTTACCCTTTATACACCTTGAATTTTTTATTTTCAACTGGGAATTTGTCTCTGAAAGAAGGAAGATATCAATGGTGTCAAGCTCTGACTGTGAAACTGGAAGAAATAGGTCAACTAATTTTTTTGTTCTAATATCTTTGCTGATGTCAATCTGTAGGTTTCATTAAAAAATCAGGATCAGCATGCACTATAATAAATGGTATTAAAAAAATACTGCAGGCTAACTTTTATTTCTTCTCTCATTGAAATAAGAAAATTTGTTTGCTGGTTGAAAAAGTTTCAAGAAACCAGTTACGTGGTTAGAGCATGACACTGTCGATATTGAAATTAACTCACTGCCTACCCTCCATATTTCCCGTTGCTATCACCACTTCAACACAATTAACACAGGGTCACAAATATAGCTGTGGTAAGAACACTAAAAGATAGGTTCTGAACACTGAAACCTCAGGGGCGGCAGTAAAAACTGTTGGCAGCTGAAACTGAACTTTGGCCCCAGCATATACTGCATGGGTTGGCAGTGAGCTAATATTGGAGTCTTCTTAAACCGAACGCTTAGTCTGAAAACAGCGGTAAATGGAAAGAAAATGAAATTCCTGATTTTTTTTCCTTCTTTGACAACCTCTCTCCTTGAAAAACCTGGCTGAACCAGAGAAAAATCTAGCGGTCTGGCATATTTCCGTTTAGGCGGACTCCACTGTATATCATTACTCCAATTTAGAGGGGTTGTACCTCTTCTGATAAGTGAGCACTGGATCTGTTCTTTTGGGTGAGGGAGGAGGGATGCATTTATTGATATATTTTTTTCTTATTTTCTTATCTTATAGTTATAGGGTTAGGGGAGGATTGATATATATATATATTTATTTTCTTTTGATTTTCTAATCTTATGTGGATAAAACTTTTTTCTCAGGCAGTGAACTGGACCTAGGTGATGAGGAATCTCGCATCCCGGTGCTTCTGATCCAGAGACCAGGAATTCCCAGCAGCCCGTCACTGTCTTCTAGTTCACAGGCAGGCTACGCCAGTGGTTGGGATGTGGTCATACCTGGGGGGTGGGCAATGGCATTCTGGGTGGCCTTTGTCTACCGGGGTGCTCGGGTGGGTGGTTTGCGGGAGGCCCAGAGTGTCTGGCTCCAGGCCGGTCAACTCTCTGCACCAGGAGATTTCCCAGACAGCCGGGCTGGATTGTCTGAGATAAATGCGGAACTCGGAGATTTGAAAACTAGGCATGAGAGGAGACCACCAGCTAAACGGCCTAATTATACCAAACTTGGGATGCTGTTTCCTTTTGAGTACAAGGCTGGTGAACTTGTGAAAATCTGGACAGCGAAGGTTGTTGAAAATCTTCCAGGTGTGGTGTTAAACTCGCAGTATGTCCTGGATGGAAACAATGACAACGGTGTGGTTGTATTAAGAGAGAGGAAATTACTTTGTCTATTGGACAGTGTCTTGGCAAATCCGAGCAGATTTTTAAAATATGGTCTTACTTCAATGAGCAAAAACAATAATAAGAACAATAACAAGAACTGTGAGCAAAACGAATCTGGAAATATTTATAGCCAACTCTCGCGTTATGCTGCTGGTAAGAGACTGCTTGACAACTTCCTTTCAGCTCTCGTGCCCGTCTCCTTCCACATGCTTCTCAGGGGTGTCCCGTATTTTCGTGGTCACGTCTGTCTTCCGTCCGACGACGATTTGAGAACATTAGATGGTGATAAATCGTATGGAGGACCTGTTGAAAACCTGCATAAAGACCCTGGTCGTTCTGTGAGAAAGGCAGAGAGGAAAGAGCGGCTTAAACTCCGGAGGAAGAAGCAAAAGGGGAGAAAGACAAATGCTGGGAGCTCAGTAAAGGGTGAAGAAACATCAGGCTCTCATTCTAGTGCTTTTGTGGTGCAAAGTTTGGATCTTCTCAATCGAACAGCTCAAGAAACGCTGAAAACACAAGAAGTACAGTCAGCACCACAGCAACACGAGGAAAAACTTGATGTGCTTACCCAGACTGGTCGTCCGATCATTGGCTTTGTAAGGAAAGGGGACTTTGACCTTGGGCGAGGTCAGGGGTCAGGGGTGGCATTCTGTTCTGTGGCAGCTCTGTTAGAGCTTGTAGAGCAACAGAAGGCGAGGACGAGAAGCCTGGTGCTGGTCAGAAACCCCTCCTCCCTGCAGTTTAGATTTGCCTCACTCAGTATTGCAATGTAAGATTTAACTCATTCCACGCCACGGTCAATTCGAATTCCAACTCTATGCCAATGCCATGAAAATTTCCATTTGGCCAACAGACCTATTGGGGTACTTACTTTGAGGGCTATTACAATTATTTAGCTGTCAGATGTATCCATATTATACCAACATGAAGGAAAATTAATAAGAATTATAAAAAGTTTATAAAACTCAAATAAATGATGACAGAATATAAACATATGCACCACCATAAGTTGACAAAGTGCAACATGAACAAAAATGATGATGGGCATATGGACGATACAACATGACATTTTTTATGTAGACTACTCTTATCATATGTGAGCACTTTTCATTTTCTTTTCTTCAATCAGAAAGATAAGAATAAGATAAACTTTATTGATCCGTGAGGATGATGAGTCTTCATAATGGATACCATTTTAGATTGTGCGACTTTACGAAATGTACATCATGTATAATACTTTGTGTTACAATATTAGGTTTATACTTACAATAATAGTAGGCTTACTGACATTTTGACTACCGATACCAGTGCATTATTGTCAGGTTTTGCTTTTGTCAGTTTTATGTTTGCCCCATGATCATTTTGGTTGAGAAGTCAGTCTTCTACTTTAATCCCAGCTCCTTTTTGCTCAGTTTTACTTTTGCAGAGTCCATGAAGTTTTTTTGTTTGTTTCTCTTTATGAAAGCAGCTTTAGATCTAGTTCTCTGGTTCATCATTGTATATATATCGTTGCCTCAGAATTCTAAATAAAAAAATGGTTAGAGTTAGAGATCTAACTTGGTTTCTGTAAATTTTACAGAAGAGTGAAAACAACAAAAAAATTCAAGGCTATTGTACACATTTCAGCTGTTTAAAATCCAATTATTTGGATAGGTTAAAACCCAAAACCACATTTTAGAAGTAAGCTGTTTAGAATCCTGCAGCGACGATATATGTATAATTTTCCTGCCACAATGTTTGCATGGGCTAGGACAAGGGTTTCTTTATCACAGAACGGAAGAACTTTCAGGGCTGGTTGGGTGAAGTGAGGGAACCATTGAGATAAGGTGTGATAATTTTGTTACCATCACAAGAACCATATGTTCTGGAAAGCTTGATAAAAGTTTGTATCCAAAAAAGATACATCGTTAGGTAGGGGCTACCTCTTTGGCTCTTCTTCATATAGTGCCTATTCTGGTCCTAGCAACTAAAACCTAAAGCAAAGGTGAAATTTAATAAAACCATGATATTTTGTGATATTCTTTGTCCTCTCCATGTTGTTGTCAGTCACCGACCTAGCTCTATGTTACATTTGTTCATGCCAATGCCATGGTTATATTTCATTAAAGTTTTAAGTATGTCTGAATTTCATTTTCATTCCACTTCTTTTAAACTGTTCCAAGCTTCCAATCCATTGTTTAGCTGTAGATGGGAAAGATCAAGATGTTTTCTCAAAGAGTTGTGTACCGGTACATTGTTAAGTTAGTGACCATGGACAATTTTCAGATTATATGAAGCACATCGATAGTTCATTTTGAATGGGTAAAACCCTACGGTACAACAAGACACAATGAAAAAGGTCACTTCCTCGGACAGCTTGTTTCACGGGACTATTTCAGCGAGTGGACTCTGTTTAGAGATTAACATGAAATCGCTGGATAGAAAACAAAGTTCAGCTACTCTTTACAGTTTAGAGACGATGCTATCGTTACCACAGTCACAGAGTGGTTACAAAATGTAGTAGGCTAATACAGTATAAGTATAACACGGATAGCTCGAATTTGTCGGGACCGGCCTCGGTAGTTCGGGGGATCCGCAGTTCGAGGGATATCTTAAAAAGATAAAAGAAGAAAAAAACCCGGGACAGCAGTCACATTTCGACGGATGCGTGATTTCGTGTTTTCTGTGTTTGACCTATCCGTGTTATACTGAATTAATTACGTATAAAACTAACTACAACTACAACCTCCCCAATGGCAAGAATGACTTGTTCAGTGGCTCATTATATTATACCCTAGCCCACTTCATGATGTCACTGTCACTGAGAGTGTCAATTGTAATTACTGTAACTGTTTACTGTAACACCACCGGTACACGATATAGTTTCCTTAAATATCTTTTCTTTTTTTTTTTTAGTAGAGGTTTTTACGGCGCTCGCAACTGCATAAGGTCATCATCATATGAGCGCCTGAAGATTAGAGGTGTTACAAGAGAGTAACAAACATAAAAAAGAAGAAGGGGAGATAAGGACGATAGATGTTTCATAGGAAAGAAGGAGCAAACCACACCAGAGCACCCGCCACCACCCACTTAAACATCTTAAAAAATATTACTCCAATAAGTGTAAAAATAACACACACATAAAAGTAAAACATCACTACATAATATAATGCAGAAATGAAAACAACACACTGTTTCCCATAAATTGTTCACTTTCATTTTAATTCATTTTATGCATATATTATTATTATAGAATCTCAGTATATTAGTATTATTATACACTACCAGGTATCTCTGTATCCCAAATTATTTAAGTTAAGTGTAACCCAATGCTGAAAGTGAAAGCGAAAATTTTTCCTATTTTCAGCACATCACTATATTTATGAAAAATTTAGCTCATTAATATTTTCACATTTCTCATACCTGCAGTTGTGCATACGCCTGGAAAACAACATCAGTAGAATATCATCATAACAACAGCATTAATATTACACAATTCATTCATCCACCACAAGAAGAAACTACAGTAACAGTGTGCTTTCAACTGCTACTGAAGAACAACACACCTAGCAACAGCATCAACACACCAAAACCAATCTCTCCTCCCCCCCCTACCCCAGCCATTTTTTCACTCACTGTCAACCCCCTCCCCCGAACTAAGTAAGTAACAAATGACATGGTAACTATCTGGACAAAATACAATTTCATGTCATAATGAAAGAGAATGAACAGCTTCTTCAGGCAAAAATTGATTTAAAACATTTTACAAACAAAAGCAACCTTTCCATGGAAATTTCAATTCTGATTCTGAAAATGAACCCGTCAAACTGCAAAAAAGCCATTCAGTTTTCAAATCATATATATATCTACAAAATTGTTCTCTCTCTCTTTTCACTACCATACTGACATTATGTCTACATTCTACAGTCTCACATGATACAAACACAAAGGGGCCGTGAAGGTAGAGAGAGACGGGGTTACAGCTTTACTGACCTTCCAGGTACACTTGAACTAGTAGGCCTACTACATGTACTACTACTACTACTACTACTGCAGAGCTTATTTCGTTTGAGTGGAGTTTTCAGCAGATCTGAAATCTAATCAAATCCTGTGACAAATGCCATTGTTAAGAACAGAAATTGCAGCTGAACCTTAGGACTTCAGCAGAAAAATAACAACTAATGGACCATAGGATCATCATACAAATTTCTCAAACTCAAACAAGTAGCAATTTATACTAATACCTCCCAGTACGCTCACAAAATAACACGATTACAGTAGTCTGCTTAAACCAAAATTTGCTGAACTGCCAGGTTTTCTTCGGTTTAGCCATGGTTTCTGTTTTGAGAGGTTGTTCAAATAGTGAAAAAATAATCGGGAGTTTTATTTTCTTTTGGTTTCCTGTTTTTTTTAATAAATGTGTTTGGTTTAAGCAGACTCCACTGTAACTGTATGCACACATTCTCTGCTCAATTCTTACATTCACTGTCTGTCTCACACTGGCAATCATAGCTATGTATGTATACACATTTTTAAATACACAGTAATAATACGTGTAGCAGACCACATACAAGGAAGTCTGGCAACTGTGGAGATAGATGATGACGTTTAATACTAATACAGTGGAGACGTCATATAACAGGGGTAGTGGGACCAGAGAAAAAGTCCTGTTATATATCAGATCCCTGTAAAATCAGAAAAGCAAAGGAAGTAAGCATTTGTGGACTAATCCAGCTGTATTTATTCATGGGTCGTTTCCCTTGCCAAAATGTACCCACAAAAAGGGTTTTGGCCACGTGGCAGGCCTGTGTATGACACATTACGTGTGCATGTAGCTAGGCTTAGGGCTAGATCAAAGTCTGTAGCAAACTGCAGCCCTCTCTCGCTTCACCACCTATGAGTGCTTGCTGAGGCGTGGCTTTGCATGGGCTTGCTCCATCACTGCGTCTCTCTCTCTCCCTCTTACTTTTTTACACATTGTTAATGAGCCTTTGTCCCTGCTATAACCGATTGGGCTCTGATGAGGCCCTGCTATTGCCGATAACTTTTAATAAACAAAGAGTAGGAAAAAACTAAAAAATCCCTGTTATTACCGGGCCTATGGTTTTCACTGTACCTTAATGACTGATAATAACAGGAAGTTATAGGCATAGCACCTACTCCACTAGAAATAAAATAAGCGCTCTACAAATAACAGGGCCGAATAATCACTCAACATAACTGGCAAATCAAAAGACAAAAAATGCACATTATGAGATAATCTAATAAATATAAAACAACACACACTGACACACACACACACACACACAACTCCCCCCATAAATACATGAAGATCACAACAGCCAATAAAAACACGTGAATGTTCAGACTAGTGCACATATAGGCCAAAATAACATTAACAATTTTATAATTAATCACAGATGAAAGACAAAGATCAACAAGTGGTTTGTTACTCATCCTCAAAACCTGTAGGCTACATCATACCATTTGCCATTGTCTGACTGAATTGCTATATATTTTCTTCGTATTAACTGGCAATACTGTTTTCCAAAACACTCATGGATATGTCCAACAGCTCATCTAAAAAACCAAATCAAATTGTTCCTCAGCCTCATGTCTTGAATTCAAATCGCCTTGCAGACTTGCGGGCACAAAGCGAAACAACACACCCATCGTCATCGTTACTTGACCCACCAGGCTCGTCCCTCCACAGCTCTAGTAAAAGTATTGAGACACCTCATCACACATTACCTCCTGTCTGTAGTGTGATTAAAATTAAAGCAATCTAGTCATGTGAAGGTGGATGGCCTAAGGTATGCATGAGTATGATCAAAGTCAAAGACAGACAGTGTGGCGCTTCAGTGCAGTGTTTGAACTATGTTTGTGTGTATGTACGGGTGTGGTTGTTTTTTGTTGAGCATGAAGGTATGGATCCCGCAGTGGTTAAGCTAGAGGGATGGGTGGTACATGTTACTAATTTTAGTTATTCATACATCGACATGATTGTGATCAGCCATAAGAGCAATTCTTTTTAATTTAGTCATAAAGGCACATCAAATTCAGAAACACTCTCACTCTCTTCCTTTCGCTTACTTCGAAACTGAAAAAGGCGCATGCACTTTCCATCCGTTCTTTTTATTGATATCAGGTACTATTAATGATCGCGAACAAAAAAAACCACTAAAAAAACCCAACATGAACAAAAATGCCCAAAAGACCCCCAAAACAAAGTAACACAAAATAAAATATGGCCCCATGGTCGCTTTTAAGCACAAGGGGGCTATCCCGAAAAAGGCTGTTTTGAGAAAATCAAAGGTAAAGTTTTTGCCCGCTGTTCAGTTTCTTTAAAAGACAAGGAGACTTTTCTCTCTAACCAAACAAATGTACACACCAATGAAACCAAACTTCTCCTATAGGTAGGGCAATGCTCACTTTTGGTGTAGGTCAAGATTTCTGGAAACCCCAGAAATCTGGGCTAGCCCGTTTGTCCTTAAAAGGGCATATATGGTCAAAGTCAAACATAACAGTGCATGAAGGGCACAAGGGAGATAATCATAGGCTTATTTTTCAAGCCATTGTACTCTCACAGTTACTTCTTTTGATTTTTTTCAATACCTCTTCACTTTTTCATTTTCATTTAAATAAGCAGAAGGCTGTGCCAAACATGTGTCGATCCCCTACGTGTTTGACTTATAGTTATCCATGCCTTAGTGTAAGTATCTGCAAGTGTTTTATGCCCCATCAATCAACACAGTTTAGATCATTTAGGGGCTGCTTCAACCCTACCTGTCAGGGCCAAAAAAGGCTTAGAGCTTAGAGGGATACAACATCCTCCTAGAACCTGGAAGACAGAGATATATTCAATTTAAAAAATCCCCCAAAAACTTTCCTACTCAAGAACTGAACTCATGTCTTCTGCATAACACGGCAAAGCACAAAGCACCTAACTGCTACCACAGATGCTGATCACAAGTACATACACAGTAACACGGATAGGTCAAACACGAAGACTAGAAATCATGCATCTGTCAAACTGCCAGCTGTCCCGTTTTTCTCTTCTTTTTCATCTTTGTAAGGTATCACCTGAACTGCCGATTCCTCGAATTGCCGAGGCCGGTCCTGACGGATTCGAGCTATATCCGTTTATATTGTATTTTGAACATCCCCCCAAAATGCGTTGCCTGTCAAAGGAAGTTGTCTTGGGCCACAATGATATTGGTGGTAACTTTAGGACTGGAATTCCTTAGAGACAGTAATTATTAGAGATTTTTTCCCGATCTGTGTCAAAACTTGTCATCATGGTATGATATGGTGATTTGTTAAATAAAAAAATAAAAAATTTCATTTTAGACATTTCAATTATGCAGTTTCTTGCTGTTTAAATTTTAAGAAACAAGTTGAGATGATACTTAGATTGTTAATTAACAACATTTCGCGCCCAAAGTTTACAAAAAATTATAAAAAAGAGACTTGAACTAGAATCAAATTCCCACAGTAGGCCTACAAAAGAACTTTGGAAATAATCAAGTTTATGTAGGCCTACCTTTTGTTCTCTTACATGACAAATGTATTTTATGTTCTGCATTACTCTTCATAATCTGAAGGTCCGTATGCACTGACCTCAGAACAGCGACCATGGTGTAGCAGTTAGACGTTTCGCTGTCGAACTAAGGAGATCAGAATTTTTCGATCGCTGATTCGGGAGAAATCGTTTGGGAATCATGGTCTTTCAGCTGGGACGCTGCCCTCTCAGCCCTGGTGGGTCTAAAGCCTGCCTCCTATATGATCTAAATTGTGTTGATGAAGGCGTAAAAAACACATGTATTAGAAAAGAAAATTCTCTGACCTCGGTAGGCCAACTTACAAACTGCTACGCAACAATAAGTTCATCATCACCTTAGCATTATCATCTACATATAATACATAAAGACAGCGAGTGAATGGTACGCCTACCACATCGTTTGCACATTTGTAACATCAACAAGCGAACACAGGATCTCCACAATTCCTAAAGGAATTCTGCCACAGACAAGGAGTTTAGGTGGGAATTAAGGGCTATGGCGACTGGTCTGGTGCCAACAATGAAGAGAATTTTCAAGGATCTTTTATTAAGAGTTCCAGGATTTGGGATTGGGACGAAGAGATGATGAAAGAGTACAGTGACAGGAAAAGCAGGCCCTGACAGACTGAGAAGGGGTTTTAAAAGTAGGACATTTATGATTTAAAAACATATATCTCTATCATTCCAGAATAAAATGCTGTCAGGTCATTAAATACTTGAACATGCAGTACTATCATCGTTTATGAACACGACATACAACAATAGTCCAACAGTCCTTGAAACTACGAATAGAGGGAGGTTGACACTGATCTTTCTGAGGAGAGCATACTATTCTGGGAAAACTTTTTATTATAATTAAAGAGATTTGGTGCCTCACTCACTGTCGATTGAATTTCAACTGAACCCAGCCAAGTTACATATATTTGGCTACCATTGATAGAAATTTAATTTTATTAACAGATTCACCATGTAACATTCATACAGTATACAACGGACAGGTCGAACACGGAAGAGTCGAAATTATAATGCATCCGTCCAACTGTACCTGCAGTCCAGTTTTTTTTCTTCTTTTTATCTTAACAAGATACATCCCTTGAACTGCTGATCTCTCGAACTACCAAGGCCAGTCCCAACGAATTTGAGTTATCCGTGTTATAATATATAGTACTATAGCGTCCACCAATACCATCATGATGTTACAATCATTTCTCATTATATTAGAAGGCCTTCTAATGATCAAAACACATTCAACATCCTGGTTTGGAAGAACCACTTGGCTCCATTGAAATATTTGTCAGTTCCTGCACTTCATGCTCATCTGAATCACCACTGACCCGTTTTTTGCTGACAGCAACCACATTGAAACCTTTGGGGTCATCTTTATTTTTAACTGCATAGTAAAACACTGTGTCCCCTTCATGTTCCGATGTCATGATTAACTCATGGTTTTCAATCTCTGCATTTGTCATTCTCCTCAGTTTATTTAGCTTAGGATTTGGCACAAAATTATACATATACTGAAGTATTAAGGCTACGACTCCAAATGTTACACATAAAGTTAAAACATAAAAGTTAGCCAAGTTTTTAAGGTTTTCCCCCTCCTTGTGATATTGGCGTGACCAGTCGGTTTCATCATACATGTGTCCTTTATAATGGTAATGTGCACCAGCTTCAGCTGAATAACCATAGCCATGAGACCTATATGCTGACGCCGAATTGTTCATGTGTCTTTGCATGTAGCGATCAGCATCTAAGGTTGAGTCATAGTCTCTCCGAGAAAGAGGTCGGCTTAATACTGTGTATGCTTCATTTACTTGTACAAACTTTCTGTGCATTGTTGGGTCATTAGTATTTGTATCAGGATGACACTGTTTTGAGAGCTTGAGAAATGCCTCTCGAATTTCTTGAGCAGAAGCCGAACGTGTAACTCCGAGAACTTCATAGTGTGACCTTTTCTGCACCAAAGTCGCCACAGTACGCCGTCGTTGTTGATGGGGAAAGTTTGCAACATATGAATTTGACCAGTGGTGGAGAACCCGATTAGACACTGTTGCAGGGGTTATAAAAGTGTAAGTTTTTAAACACAGAGAACACATTCTTAAAAGGGACTTCATTTTGGTACCCGAAACAGATCCTTTACAAAGCAGAAGACTCATATCTGTTGTGAAGATAGATCTAGATTCTGGATGTTCTCTTGTTTTTTTACGTAACCATTGTTGTGGGTTGTTGCAACTGAAGCTCTTCACAATAGAGGTTTCTAAAAATAGTTATCACTTTTATTAATCTCTTTCTGTAGAGAAACACTTCTTTCGACTTCGTATTGTATTTATTACTATAATTATCATCATAATCAACATTGTTTTTAATTAAGCATAGAAAATAGGCCGATTATAACATTACATCATTATTACTGTGGTTGTTTCAAATGCTATTCTTTTTGACAAGGCTTTTCCACAAACAGAACACTAATAATCAATTGTGGTCTGTTGAGACAATGTCAATGTCAGGATTGGACTATTATATAAGCCAATCTTGATTAATTTTCTTGCTTTTTAGATCTCTTCTGCTTTTCAATGAATTCTGATTTTTCTCAAAAACCTTTCTGCCATATGTCACAGCTGTACGCAACTGTGACTGGTCAATTAAAAGGGCTTCCACTCACCCACATCGAAGAAATCTTTAGGTGGTCTTTATACCATAATATTATATTTTGGATGGTGCACCAACGTTCTGCCTTCCACATTAATCTGTACTAAAAATAGCTTTGGGGAGCCGTGTGTTTGGCATTCGGACCAAGTGTCCGCCCATCTAAGCCGAATGTTCCTTAGGTGGCAGAAAATACACACGGGCTTTCGCCCTCTAATGAACTTTGGTGTCTGGGATATCATTTATCTAGATCTAGTGAATCCTCAATATTCTTCTCAAACAAGATAGATGAAGCCTGTTGACCTTGTTTGAATGCGTTTTGTTCATTATCCAAGACTCAGCTTCATAATAATATAAAAAGGTTGGCTACGCAGCCACGCAACGCACACTTATAGACCTTATCATTTTGACTCTCCTCTACGTAGGCATACCACACAATATTATATAGGGGCCTCTCGTGGTCTAGCGGTAAAGGTGTTCGCCCATCATTCAATAGGTCCCGGGTTCGAATCCGGCTAACGACGAAAAATTTTCTTCTCTAAGATTTTCTCTTTTCACGTCCTTTCCCGCTGTCTAACAATGTTATGCCGCCTGCTTTTCAGGAAAGGGCGAAAAATCTCGGAGATCGCGTGTGAAAGTTGCGCCACCCGTGTTCCTACCAACTGAAAAAGTTTGGTGTGTCCTGCGCGGTCATTGACCTTACGCAGTTGCAAGCGCTGTAAAACACATACAATATTATATATATATATATATATATATATATATATATATATATATATATATATATATATATATATATATATATATATATATATATATATATATATATATATAAATAATAGGCCTATATATATATATACACACACACATGAAACACACACACACAAATAATTGTATAAATTAGCTGGACACCCTTTCGATGAAAGAGATGATCGCTGCATTTATATCAGCTGAAAGTCATTGGCCTACTATATTTACACTCTACTGGAATGGAGCAATAAACCTTGAGAGATGCAAAAAAATAGAAGGTCAAGATAGAGAGACGTATAGATTGATTCTCTATTCCTCTTTCGGCAGTGTGCACGGCTAGTGAACGGTAATCTCGTTTGTTCACAATGGCGTCTTAGAAGACGAACTTTCCCAAGATTAGATCTAACCGAAACTAATCAAAAATCTGAAAATTAAACTACAGTGACTTCAGGTTCCTCAATAAAACTGTGCATTTTTTAAATGATTCTGAACCACGATTAATTTTTTTCAAATCCGAAAGTTAAGTGGTTCGGAAGTTTTAGGCGGCCAAAGTGAAGAAACTTTCACAAATATAATATGTATAGATGTATAGATAACCAAAATTCTTTTCCTAAAATTTAGTTACATGTAGCTTGAAACCTGTCTTTTTATACAGAATAATATGACCACGTTTACTCAGCCCTATACACGTACTTTAATTGCCGCAACAACGCATGGTAATAGTCTTACGACTTGTTGGAGTTATTATAATAGCCTATCCACGAAGAATATTGAGTTGAATCTGCGCGGGGTCGAATGCTTTTCTCAATTTGTAGAACGTACATTCCTCTCAGTCACGTGACCTGGTGGAGAGATGCGATCGGTTGTGGTGTGTTAACAACGGTGCGGTGGTGTAGCGGTTAGTGCGCTCGTCTCCGAAGCGGAAAGTCCGGGTTCGAGCCCGGTTCGGACCCAGATTTTTTTTTCGCCCCCTCCTGCCTACCCAGCAGTAATGGGTACCTGACTTCGACTTGAGGAAGTAAAGGCGACGTGGAAAGAAGGGATTTTTTTGCCCTCCAAGCAGCAACCAAAAAGCAGCACCATGCAGTAATTATCATGTACTAACAGTTCAGTCTTACTTTTAAGTAGAATAAGTCCAGTCGTCACACTTAACGTCTCAATGAACTGCAATATAATAATAATAATATATACAATTCAGACTGTTTCAGACTTCGGTTTGGTATGGTGTGGGCATAATGTAATCTTTCAAGACGCCAATTTAATCAAAAGGTGTGTTCTTCAATTTGACGGCAATCTCGGAAAAGACCAAGCCCAACTGTTGGATAAACACTAAACTTCCCTGACAACCCTCTAGTTCGAGAACGAGATTCAAACCAGATCCGCCCGCAGGGTAATCCAGCGCTGTGCTAACAGAGCTTGTGATGTTCCTGTGCAATAGGAAATTTACAAAAATGACAAAAGATACGGATTGGGATCGTGATTTTTAATTCATCTCTAGACTATTTTGATACTTTGAAATAGTCAAGAATATTTGACATGGAGGGTAGAAACCAAGGATACAAATGGCACTCGTAATTTTTTCCCTTTATTACGGTATCAATGGACTCATTCAAAGTTGGGCGCTCCTTCCCCTTTTTTGTCTTTTTTGATATGTTACATACACAGAAATTGCTCTTCTCTCTGGCTGGAATGTGCTAAGGTAGATCCTGCTTTGCTGGTTTCTGGTAGACTGCCAGGGAAATCCAAAAAGTGTTCAATGTTATACACCCGAACGCATGCAAGCATATTATGTAAAGCTCGAATTGGAAATAATATCTACCCCCACCCCCCTCATCCCCCTCTCTCTCTATGTCTGTCTCTCTCTGTCTCTCTCTGTCTCTCTCTGTCTCTCTCTGTCTCTCTCTGTCTCTCTCTGTCTCTTTCTCTCCCTCACATCAGCTTTCCCCTCCTCCAGCTCCACCCCGCCCGTACGTTCTTAGAGAATCCACTGACCCGTATCAATCCTCGGCAACATTTCTCGACACTGCTGTTGTTCTGGTACCACAGAATTATATTGATCGCCAAGAGAAGAGCTGTATTATGTCAAAGGAGCCGTAACACATATCACCTTACTTTCTAATAGAAGACAGCCACTGGAAGGAAACGTGCGTGCATGCTCTGGCCAGGAACTGCTGGTTTAGTGGGATTTTATTTGTTGCCTTTATTGGATTCATTTCCTCGAGATTTCCTGGAGTGTTATAACTTATAACTTTGCCTCGCGCTTTACTATGTGTATTATTATGGCACCAGCAGGCTTGATAGCATTCTGAAACAATCTCAACTTTCTGGTAGGCATACAATGCAAGCTGCCATTTCATAGGCGCTAAAACACCAACATATTGACAAGATCTTACGCTGTCGTGGCCGGGTACCATACCCACCTGGATGAAGTGATGAACATTCATGTGAAGTGCTTTTCCCAAGGACACAACGTTGGGCCTGAGGCTTGACCCCCCAACTTCCAGCCTCACGATTACGAGTCAATCAGCCAAAACACTTGACTATCGACGCCACACAAAAAGCCTGCTTCTATTAAGGAATTATTATAGTACCTCTGGATGACGAATGAACTTATATTTTATAAGTAGACCTAGTCAGGTTTATTAGACTGACACAATCATGCAGACAATTCCTGTATCGTGCAGGAAGCCTTAGTGATATACTGCAAGTTTGAAGCAGAGAACAAAAGTGTGAAAGTGCATTATTCTAAAGGAACATTCAGTCCGGATTTGTTAAGTGTATAACATGAACAATGTCTTCGTTCGTCTCGTGTCTCCTATCTCAAAGTTTCAAAATGAGCCAGTTATTTCATATTTTGCTTGTGCTTTTGTGTCTTTTTCACCCGCTTTTTCATGTTCATGGCGGTGGAATCAGGAATATGAGGACAACCAGGCCCCCTTTTCCCCAAAGGATAAGTATGGATTCTCCTTGTAACATTTCCCACAATGCTACTGATACCATCGCAGATTGTCGGGCTTTGAATATAACTGTTCTTTCAAGTTTCATGGTTCCTATGGAGACCAGTGTAATGCTGCTGGACTATAATTGCTTTTCTTCCTTAACGCGGGACTTCCTAAGGGGTAGATCTGATCTGAGAGTCTTGAGCATCTCTCACGGCAAACTAGACAACATAGAAGATAATGCTTTTCAAGACGTGATGAATTTAGAATATCTGAACTTGGAAAACAACAACCTTGCTTACTCCGGGTGCAACGAAGCAAGCGAACTTGCCATTCCTCCTGCTCTCTTCGCACCCCTTGCCAAATTGGAGTACCTCTTGTTACGTGGCAATAATTTTGGCTGTTTTGTCGAGGTGCCAGACAATCAAGCTGACACCAACAACGCGACAAGTAGTCACTTTCTGCAATATGGTGCCACGTTTTCTGATACGAATAAAAATAATATATTGTTTGAAACCGACTTACGGTTCTTGACCGAAGACTCCAAGCTGCCACTCCTGACAACGTTTTCACTAGATATACATGACTTTATTGATCCGAATAAGAGGTATCATAGTCTTAAAACTCTCATGCCAAACCTGACGACACTGGATGTTAATTCGGTTACTGAAACCATTTCGAGAGATTACTTCAAAGTCTTTAGGCACCTTGAAGTGATAAAGTGCTCAATTGAAGCAAAACAACTTGGAAACATTCACAGCCAAGCATTACTTCATCTGCGTTATCTTGAGAGCTTTACCCTCTTCAACAGTATAATAGGCTTAAACAATGCTGTTCGAAGTCTGTCCCCATTTTCTCACAGGAAATTACGGGAAGTGAGATTTGACAATGTCAATTGTCGTCACCCGCAAGTAACATGGGGCGAAGAAAATCAGGAGTACGACGCCCTGGTTAATGTATGCATTGAGCGACTCAGCTTGCGATATAACAGAATACACAAGTTTAATATTCGTCCCGCGAACTCGACGAGTAAATCATTGTTATTTTCTTGCGCGAAGTATTTAGACTTATCAGATAACATAAAAGCACTACTTAAGGTATCACTAGCAGATTACGTCGGTCTCCAGGGAATAGACATTTCAATGTGGAAAAGCCTTGAAGAATTTAAGGTTGTTAACCTCCGAGACATGTATGCTAGCCTTGACGAATGGATCAAAGAGAAACCCTCTCTATTGCCAGAATATTCAGAAAACATGTGTGCAGAGAACGGCTTGGCACAGCATCTCAATCTGACTATAACGTATACACTGTCTGAGAATCTGCTTGTTTTAAATCGCTCGAATTCTCCAGATACGTATCAAAATATGCTCTTTGGGGAAATTGTTTTCGATAAAGCACCCAACCTCACTGATTTAGACCTTTCAGGAAACGGCTTTTCAAAGATGCCGGCTGTTTTCAGAGGTTTAAATAATCTCGAGCGATTTCATTTTTCCAGAAACAATATTTCCGAGTTAAGCGAGAGTTTTTTCGATAAGCTCCCCTCCCTTAAACTGGTAGATTTTTCATACTGTCAACTCAGTTCAAGATTCATGTTAGAACTAGGACAAAGGTTATTTAGCCATCTGAAGTCATTAGAAACTATCAACTTATCGCACAATGGTCTAGAAGCATTGCCCGCTGATATCTTTGAATATAATAAAGAAATAAAAACCATTTCCATGAAGGGAAATAGACTAGCATCATTGTCAGTTGAGCTGATCAACACCCCTCTTCTCAGGGAGCTAGACTTGAGAGCAAATAATATAAAACAACTTGCTGTGCATGAAAGGAATGAACTCGACGAATTTTCCTTAACACAACCTAATTTTAAAATGTACATCCAAGAGAATTTGTTCTCCTGTACTTGTGAGGATATATCCTTTTTATTGTGGCTCCACCTCACACGAGTGACCCTGGACGAGGACAGGAACTATACTTGTTTGTGGCTAGAGGAACGTCAATTTCTCTCCCCGGTCCCATCCTCACAGGACATCCGCGCTCTGTGGAGGCGTTGTGTGGGCAAGACGTCTCTTCTCCTCTCCCTGATGACAGCCACGCTACTTTTTACAGGCTTCTTACTTGTCGTTCTTTTCTCTAGACACAAACGATACATCAAGGCGTTCGCAATGAGGATCTTCCTCCACGACTACCACCTAAAGACGAGAGCGGACTACAACATCGGACTGTTCATCGGTTACGCAGAGGAGGACTACCAATTCCCTTGCCTTGTCCTCCGTGCCTTCATAGAAGACGAGCTGGGTTTGACGTGTTACGTACGTGACCGTGATCAGATCCCCAACCAACCGATGGCGAACAGTATAGCTGAGGCCATCAACAGCTGCTGGAAGACACTACTGGTGGTCACTCCACGTTTCCTGACGAGTGACGAGTGGGGACTTTTCACAGCAAAGATGTCTGTGTATGCCCAGGGTCCGGAAAACCCACACCGGCTGCTGATCCTTGTTGACCACATGACTGTGGACAGGCTGCCAACGGACTTGCTCTGTGCTGTGTCGGAAGACAACATCATCTGTCTACCCAGGCTGCGCATGTGTTATGAACTCCGGCAGAAACTGAGGACTCGGTTGTTAAACTAATACTAATAGACCTAAGGAACTGGTGGTGGTGCGCGCGTGCACGCGCGTTTTTGTGTAAAGGTTGTGTATGCGTGTATGTGCATGTGTGCGTGTGTGCATGTGTGTGTGTGTGGGGGGGGGGGGTGTGACAATATATCATATCATAATAATTTGAAAAACCCTTTGAGCCTACTTTCAAGTAGGAAAGTACATGAACTAGGGGAAAAAAGGAAGATAGAGAAAAGGCGTAAAATTTTCAATGGAAAAGAAAGGAGCAATGATTCATAAATTGGCAGTGGGTTATCTATGTCACAAAGGTGACCCCACCCGTTAACCATTAGTTACGATATTATTACATGTAATATGTAAACATGATCCCCAGTTATAGCAGGGTTCGGCTATTACAGGGACAAGATCTCGGATAGCCGGGGACCACTGCACGGACACCGCACAACTACATGTACCTGCATTTTGGACGTGATTAATCTGTCCCCGTGGTTTTATGCACCCCGCATAATTTCGCAAAATTTGATCATCTTTTGCATAATTTCCGATTATTTTCCTTTATCATTCTTTGTTAAAACTAACAGAATCGCATAATTTCACATTTTTGGGCTCAGTTTGCATAATTTCAGAATTTTTCTTGCATAAAACGACGGGGACAGATTAATGGAACTTTCAGGGATACTCTCGGACGATTTGAGTTTTGTGAGAAGACTTCATGGTTTGCCATTTAACTTGGTTCTGCAGTATCAGGTATGAATGATATCAGCATCAGCTTTCCAGCCACTTCATTAGCCTTAAACACCAAGTGTTTTAAAAGGGAGCTTTTTTATAACCAGAAAAAACTACACTGTATACAGACACTTAATTTGGTCGGGTACTTCATGTCGCTCTATTTCTCAATACATGTATTATGTTCTTGTTCTTGTGCTATTTGGATGGCCAGAAAAGTAAATTCACTGCGTACAGAAAAAGATAAAAAGTGTTCCCATGACTTTTAAAGCATGCATTATCAGAATATCATGAGGTTACAACCAGAGTATTGTTCATATCGATGTATCTAGCTTAATTAACACTATTATTGTTATCAGCAATAATTAGTGTTCATTTATATTTATCAAAAGCAAGGCAAATGAACAGGCGTTGAGATGCTACCAATAAAGCCATATGCCCAAAAATTGATGAGCGCCTGATTCCACCACGTCGTAACACATGTGTCTTGAAGTGAGACTAAAATGAATGATTTTGTTGATATTGTTTTCTCATAAAAATCTTTTGGTCAGTTAGAACATACATGAACACTCTACATTCCTATATTTTGTTTGTGCTGAAATGTTCATGGACAGATATTGTAGGGGTCATGGCTAATGAAAGTAAATGTAAGAAAAAAATTGTATTGGAATGTAACTTACTCCTACATTAAAGGACTTATGGCACATTCAGTAGAAGCAGTTAACATAATGTATATCTTCAATACAAGTAAGGTTTGTGGCAAAACATTTTATATATGTGGCAACGTAGTGAAACCAGCTGCTCGTCAAAATAATGAAATTGAAAAACCGACATTTTTGCTCCTGTTGGGCAATATTTATCAAATTCTTTTTGGTTCAGCATCTTTTATGTCCGTTTAAGAACACATTTTAGTGTGAATTTTACTGAAAACGTTGATCAAACTCGCAACGAATGTAGATCTAAATTTGCAGTTTCCAATGTCTCCCAGGCTTTGGAATTTACTAAATTTCGGCATCCATTTTCTCACTAATTCTACCTCTGGCACAAGGAGACCCCCCACCTCCTTCAATCGCAAATATCTTGACTTCTGTTGATGGTAGATGCAGTTTTCAAAACTGTATTGTAATCATTAATAAAACTTGAAGATAACATGCTTTGATTTAATTTTTGGCTAGGATTTGATCTACATTTTAAAACTTTCTGCTATGCTTAAAAAACAACAACAACATTTGAACCTTCTCTATTGACCGCCTGTCCAAGACAACCTGTTCAAATGACCACATCCCAATTTTCCCATGCGTTTTCTCTCATATTATGATGATACTTTACACTGTTCAAGATCGACGACCACCTGTCTATGATGGCGGTGGTTGGCGGGTGCTCTAATGTGGTTTGCTCCTTATTTCCTATCAAACATCTATCGTCCTTATTTCTCCTCCTTTTTTGTGTTTGTTACTCTCTTGTTACACACTTCTAATCTTCAGCACTTAAATGACCTTTTTGTGTTGCTAGTGCCGTAAAACTCTTACTTAAGATAAACTGTCTGTGATGACCATTTTTCTCCTAGACCACATGGTTGTCTTAGGCAGGTTTGACTGTATTTTTAACGTGTAAGAAGTTGATTTTGTGAATTTGAATGAGGAGTAGGCAGCTTTGGGTAATTCTTTATTTTTCCTAATTCCAAAAATGTTCAGGAGCCAGTGACTATCACCATGAGTGTACAGCTTCCTGGTCATCCAACTGACATTTGTATCCTGAAACATCTAGGTGAGAGTGTTTTTGTTTACGTCCACTCTCGCATTCTGGCTATTTGTGAAGTATATCTTCTAACTGTCTAACGTATCACACACAAAAAAGGGATATGTGAGACATTGGGATGAAAGAAGTCATATTTGCCTGCTAATCATTCTCACTTAGAGCGTCTTGTGGAGAAAATTTCATTTCTTGAAGTTAATTTTATTTGTATGATTTACATTTCCTTGGTCTCAACTTATCTTTTCTCATATTCTTCTCTATTATCACACTTTGACATGACTAGTTTACTTTAACTGACAGAAAGCTCATTCAGAAAATTGTTACATCATCAGCATTATGCCGTGAAAAAGTGACCCTACTTTGGCTCTGAAAGGACAGAGATACTCAATGGAAAAGGTTTTTTCATACAGGACTAGCACTCACATCTTTTACATGCAATTGTAAAGGACTTAGCCTTTGAAGTATAGAATTTAGTCCCCACGTTCAGTCTTGAAACACGTTAGTTTGTCAGCAGCTGAACTGCATCTAGCATAGTTGCCAACTTACTGATTCAGTGTTTGCAAAAGAGGTGATAATTTATAATAAAAATTAAACAATTTCTATGCATTTTCCCCCCTTTTCAGCCGGCTTGCTCGTGTCCTGTACTCACCACAATGGGGAGAATCTGTACCGAGAAAATCTTTTCCATCTCAACATGAAAGGGGAGATAACTGGTTGTCTGCCTATGCTGGGACCAGGCCCCAGGAGTTTCTTCCCTTGTCTCTTGCCTGACAATCCTGACGTGACAGCTGCCTCTCCCGAACATGGTAGGGGAGGTTACTATGTGTACATGAGGGATGGCCATGAAGGAATCATTGCTGTCTACATTGAAAAGTGAAATAACGAATGCTAGATTACTGGATGTTGACTCTAAGTATATCATGAAGGCTATTTAGCCATTCTTCCGTTGTACAGAAACATCATCGTTGGGTGCCAAACTGCAGCACCCCTTTTTCTAGTGAAGCTGAGTATGAGGACACACCCAATTGACCACTTATTTTAGCCTACATGTCTACATTTTTCACAAATATTTGATAGTCACACACACACACACACACTACACACACA